AAAATGAAACAAAATACCAAATTTTTGCTGTAGGCGTATACAAAGATACAGTCAATTTTCATGATCTTTATCTTTAACCAGATAATGAACTAACCCAAATTGACCAAAACAGATTAAGGTTTCTTCATCTTCCTGTCCTAGAGAATGAGACGTCGCTCACCAGGTGTTATGGACTTAAATTCCTCAATCACATCATTGTAATTAACTGACGAAGCCAATTCTTGTTCAATGTACAAAATCATGAGTGAGTCGAGGCGCTGTTGGGACATTGTACTTCTTAGTTTGTTTTTTACATGTGCTAGTTTCGAAAAAGCTCTTTCACATGAACAGCTTGTAACAGGTAAGACTGCAAAGCATTGAAAGATTTGTAAAAGGACTGGAATGTGGAAGACCGATCTGATTCCTTTAGTCAGTCATTCACGCCACTCTCTGGTGATGTTTGTAGTGCTTCCTTTAGGAACAGATCCATCATAATCCCAAAACAAGCCGACTTCAGCTTCCAACTCATTCAACGACACTTTAAATTTGTTGGCAAGGATTCTCATATCGTCCCTGCCAATGTTCAAGCTCAGCAGCTTTCCCATTGCAGTCACAATTTTACAAGTCTCCTGTTCAAATCACTGGTCAATGCCGGTAATCCTTGAGTCTAGGAGTGGGTAAAATGAAGTTATTCTCTCCTGCTCCTCTTTTGTATCAAAGTGATGCTGGGACTCAAACGCGTCATCAATACAAGTGGACGTTTTTCTCTTCTTAACTGGAGGAATCGATAGATCATTCTCTACGCACATTTTCACACTGTCACTGAAAATAGATTGAAAATATTCTGGGCCACATCTCATTGCAGCCAAAGAGTTACACAAGCTTTTCACCCCTGTCATTGCAGTAAGTAAGTTGAGATCTGGAGCGTGAAGAGCCTTACTCACTTTTACCACCATCTGGAGAATAGGGTGCATCATGTGAAGGGCAAAGATGAACTTTAATGAATTTAGTTCATGGATAAGACCCCTGGCTTTTATTTTAGTGTCAGCAAGGCGAGTTGTTTCGATAATCTCTTGTAAAGCTTGTAAAATGATGGAGTAGTTTTGTTTTACAGCAGCCACTGCTTCTGCTCTGCATGCCCATCTTGTGTTTGACAGGGACTTCAAAGTCTTCAGCTGGGATCCTACTTCTTGTGAAATCTTCTCCATTACTGCATGTCGCACAGGACTCCCCTCCATGAAGGCATAAAGAGTCTGAACAACATGAAAAAAATCAGACAGTTCTGTTTTGTTTACTTGTAGTGCATGCATCTTCTAGGACGAGGTTCAAACAATGCGCATAGCAGTGTACATAGAGTATTTTACTGTTTCTTTCTTTACATTTTATTTGAACTCCCACAGTACATCCAGACATAGTAGATGCGCCATCAAAACAGACAGACATCACGGATGACCAGTCAATTTTAAGAATGCCAAGGACATCACTTAACTGGTCAAAAATAGACTGAGCATCAACTGTTAATAGTCTCTGAACAGACACAAAATGTTCAACTGGACTATGTTTTTCATTATCAAAATACCGCACCACAATGGACATCTGTTCATGGTGTCCACAGTCAGTAGTGTCGTTGGCAATTATTGAGACCATTTTTCCATTTAGTGAAGACGCGATCTTTTGTTGCACAACATTGTGCAAGGCTACAATTAAATCATTTTGGATGCGATTAATCAGATAGGTAGCGTTTCGAGGAGATTGTTGCACATGCTTTGCCATTACGGGATCATATTTTTGGAGCATATTGACGAGACTTAGAAATAAACCTCTCAAAACTGTCAGCTTTTTCATTGTGACCCCTGAATGGTCTCCCACCTTTCGTCAAACACAGAACAATGTCAATCAGTTGCTCCATTACACTTCGGTTATGGCACCGTTCTTCTTCTTGTTTAGACAGATAAGCCTGCTTGCCCTCATCCAACAATACATCAATAGGTTTCCCTTCATTAAAACTTGACCATGAAGAACAGCTCAACACATGAGATTTTGACAGTTGGTGGTTTTTAAAACATTTGTTAGCCCTATGCCAGGTTCTGAATTCCTTATCAATAAATGCTGGATCAGTGTGACCTTTGTTTGCTGCATCATTAGAGGAGATGAAACAGCAGTAAAAGCAAAATGCTGCGTCCTTTGATGGGTTATATTCTAACCACCTATACTTTTCCTACCAATCGGACTGAAAAGTTCTTTGTTTATTCCCTATTTTACTTCTAGGAAACATACTCAATCTAGGCTGATAAGGACCTCTAGATAATCGAGACTGGCGTTCTAATCTATTTTTTGGAATATCACAGACAGATGGAATGTTTGATGGCTTTAAATAGGAACTACACTGAACTAAGAGACAAAGTCTGTTTCTGTTGGTCATTACTCAGTTTACTGCACGCACTGGAACTGGTGGTGGCATTATCTTCATGTAAGTTCTTAACCGAGGAGTCCGAGGTATTTGCACTACTATCAGCACGCTCATTATAATTCAGTTTGTCTGCGCCCTTTCTTATATTAACAACAAACTGATCCATATTTTAAAATTAAAAGGGGGTATCATACGATTGAATTAAAACATAAAGCCACGGGCTTGTTATGCTATTTCACTAGAATACACGCGACAAAGATTACAAACACTGTAGACACTGCGCTGGGCACGCCTGACGTGGCCGTTTATGTAGGTCACAGAATTTTCTAAAATAGTAGTCGGAGGGGGGAAAGAAGGACCAATGGTAATGCGGTGTTGCAGTAGCAGGGATGCGTGCTGTGAGTGAACGCAGGCTTTCTATACATTTCTACAACATCTATATGATGCAATTCAGCACTTATTGCATAATACAACATAATACAACTGCAAAACTAAGCATTTCAGATGGTATCTTCTAGACTGAGCACTGAGTCTCATTGGGTAGATAGAAAGATTAACCTAAATAATCTATACAGAAGCCTGTGGAACCCCATAAAATTGGGTCCCTAATCCATGAACTATTAGAACTCATTTACAAAACTTTTCTTAAACATTACATTAATATATTGTCTCATACTATAGAATTAGAATTTATAATCCCTATTCCATGATGAGATATAATGTATCTTAATTAAAACTATCTTTAGATATGTTATTTCCTCAAAAATCCAATTTAAAGTAAAAAAATCTGATATTTTTGATTTTTTTTAAAGTCATTAATTTTTATCCACCCTAATAGCTGGGCATGGTGGGGACGGGGGGGAAGGATTGGTCCCTAGCTGGAGTAAGGCAGGGGCTGGGGCAAGAGCACAGCAGGGCATGGGGGGGATTGGTCACCAGCTAGAGTGAGGCAGGGGCCGGGGCAAGAGGAGCACAGTGGGGCATGGGGGGAGGATTAGTCTCTGCTGACTGGAGCAAGGCAGGGGTTGGGGGCAAAAGCACAGAGGGGCAGGAGCTAGTGTTGGTCCCTGGAGCAAGGGAGGGGCTGGGGATAAACTGCAAGTTCAGCAGGGCTGCGGAGGGGGTAAACAGAATCCCCCCCATTCCTGCCCACACAGAGTGGTTACCTTCCTTCTCCCTGGTTCTAGCCCATTCTCTTTGTCTCTCTTCGCATTGAGCTGAGGGTGAGGGTGCACTGAGTACAGGGCTGGGGATGCAGGGTCTGGGAGGGAGTTAGGGTGCAGGAGCAGGCTGGGGGTTGGGGTGCAGGGTCTGGCCAGGAGCTAGAATAGGGGAGGGGGCTCAGGGTTGAGGTAGGAGGTTGGAGTGTGGAGCGCTTACCTAGGGCAGCTCCTGTTTGGTGTGAGGGGTGCAGGTGGATATGTGGGCAGGAGGGCGCAGGACCTCCCCATTTGGTGCAAGGGGAGGGGCTGGGGATGTGTGCAGGAGTCAGGGCACAGGGTGTGGGGGACTGGGTATGTGTGGAGGTGCAGGAGTCAGGGCAGGGTGTGGGGGGGGTGCAGGAGTCAGGGCACAGGGTGTCGGGGACTGGGTATGCGTGGAGGTGCAGGAGTCAGGGCTGGGGCGTGTGTGGGTTGCACGAGTCAGGGCAGGGACCTGGGAGTGTGTGAGGGTGGGTGCAGGGGAGGTGCGCTGGGGTCGTGGGGGTGCTCCCAGCCCCCTGCCCTGAGCGGTTCAGAGCAGGGGGTTGGAGGAGGTATACCCCCAGTCCACTCCCTGTCCCAAGGCTCTACCCCCGCCTCTTCTCGCACAGGAGGAGGGGCGAGTACGCAGCAGGCTGGCGGAAGAGGCGGGAGCTTGGCTGCCCTGGAGCCGTAAAACAGAGCCCAAGTCGCGCCGCACCACCAAGCTTCTGCCCCCGCAGTGGAAAGCGGCGGTGGAGAGAGGCCGGGCCGGGCCCCCCCCCCCCCCACGCACCCCGGACTCCCCCGCCCCCCATGTCCAGCAGTCTGGCCGCCCCCTTTTTTTTTGCGCTTGCGGTGGCCCTGATTAGGGTGTGCCCGGGCACATCCGGCAGACCCCGTGCGCAGGCCTATGTCCCAGAAACCGCGACACTCATCCCGCCAGGGTGCACCGCTGACTAAGGACAGCTGTCCGTGCAGGTGGGGCTGTCTCTCCCGCTGCATGGGGTGAGTGCAGGAGGAGACGCCTCGTCCCCGGGACCAGCAGGACAGCTTGCCACGGGGGGCTGGAAATGCCCAGAAAAGGCACTTGAGGCCGGCAGTGGCGATTAGGGGTCAGCCCGTGTAATCTGGTATAACTCCCCTGACATCGGTTACACCAGAGCCGGAGCGGGCTCGGAGCGTGCTGCTGGACCCGGCTGGGGACTCCACGCAGACCGCACTACCTGGCGACGCAGCCAGCGGCTGCCGATTGGCTGCCACGCCCTGTCGAACCCCCTTCTCACCACCCCTCCCGCGCGGCCGCCCTGTGGTGCTCGGACGCCGATTGGTTCGGAACACTGTGGTCGTCACATAGGCTGAGATCAGCCCAGCGCTTGGGGGTGGGGTTAGCTGCCCCTCCCGGGTTAGGAGGCGGGGCGGGGAGAGGGCGGGGGGGGCGCGGCGCTGGGGCCGCTGCGGTAGAGCGCCTGGCGCGCCTGTTACCTGTGACCGCTCACCCAGCAGCTGAGGCGGGATGCTGAGCCTGCTGGAGGTCGGCGGGTTCGTGCTGGAGCGGGTGGCCACGGGCAGCTCCTTCTCCCTGGTGCTGGTTGCCTCCGCCTGTGTGCTGAGCCTGGGCTACCTGCTGCGTCTGGGTTCCCGGCGCCAGCCGTGGCCCGGTGAAGGGGTAGGTCGCGGGGCGGAGGAGAGGGACCTTCAGGGTGCGGGCTGAGATGGCGGGGCCGGGAGGAGGGGTGGGGTGTGCGTGCGTGAGTGTGTGGGGAGGGGGGGAGGCTTTATGGGGTCGGGGGGACCTCGGCTGGGGGAGGGGCCGCTGCCCCAGAGCCGGGGTGGCGAGGGGGGTTACTCAGCAGCAAGCTGGGCATCGGGGGGCTGAGGAAGAGGACGCCCGTGTTGCCTCACTCGGAGGGGGCTGCTCAGCGAGACCCGCAGCGTTAAGGGGGCTGTCTGAGAAGAGCCTGCTGACCTCATTTAGCAGCCTCCGCCCTACTTAGACCTGGGGTGCCCGGGTCCGACTTGGAGCCCAAAGCCTCGGGTCGCAAGGATGCACTTGATTCCTTCTGGCTGGAGAAACCAGGCTACGTGTGCCTCTGCTGGGCAGAGAGCTGCCCCCACGGAAGAGCGGGCGGAGTCTGACTGTAGGGGTGAGGATTTGTGGCATACTGTATTTAGCTTTAAGAAAAGGAGTACTTGTGGCACCTTAGAGACTAACAAATTTATTTGAGCATAAGCTTTCGTGAGCTACAGCTTGCTTCATCGGGTGCCACAAGTACTCCTTTTCTTTTTTGCGAATACAGACTGACACGGCTGTTACTCTGAAACCTGTATTTGGCTTTTTTTCATGCCAATTCTTATCAAGCTGAACACCTTCTGGAGCAGTGCAATTGGATGGGGCACTGCCTTAGCTGTTATGCAGAAGAAAGGTTCCTTTGACTCCAAATAGGACTGACTTTTTGGAACAAGCTTTTAAAATGCATTTACATACATGTCCCTGCAACCTGTGAGCATAAAACTGAGGCCAGTTTGGAAGTTTATTTCAGAGCTATTTTGTTTTTATTGAATGACACTTCATTGCAGCCTTATCTGTTATCCAGCAGGCTTCATATCTTTCCATTTACTGTATCTTTCTATTCTAGTCTCATTAGCCAGTCTCCAGAAGTATTTTTGAATCTTTCCAATCTTTAGATCTTTGGTTGATAACAGTCTCTTATCCCAAGCTGTAGGTGCCATAACGTGAGTAATGTCATGACTATTTATCCATTTACGTTCTTGGCCAATGTGAGTTGTTGAATCCTATTATTCACATAATGAACCATGAAATAAGTCAGCAGTCCTAGTGCAGTATTTGATTTAGAGAAGAATTGATCTAAATGTTAAATGAATATTCTCTTGCAGAAACACCCACCTTATATTTCGTCTAATATCCCTTTTCTTGGACATGCAGTAGCATTTGGAAAAAGTCCTATTGAATTTTTAGAAAATGCCTATGAAAAGGTGAGTCTTACTTAATGAGTGGTTAAATGTACCTAGGATATTCTTATTTGTTCTGCTACCTTCTGTATTCCCAGAAACTATTTAGAATTTGGATAACTTTGAATCTCCTTGGAATGACATGTTTACACTTTGTCTGCCAGAGTTCAATATACCATACAACCTTGATAGTGTGGGCACATAATGTAGTAATACCTCATTCTGTGGGCAAGTTAATGATAGAAAGGTGAAGGAGATATAATATGATTAATAAATATCTACAGAATCATAATTTCAGTGGTGTCATCCTTTCTGGCATGGCAGGTAGGACTCGTTGCCCCCCTGTGGCTCCCAGCTTCAAGTCGTGTGGTCGGTGGAAAGTTTGTTAATGCAGTGTCTTTGGAACTGGGTCAAGCTGGATCTCATTCAAAAGCCTTTTCTTCCACAATGGTACCAAACATAATAAACTTAGAACAATTATGTAGATATGTAGTTGAGAAAAAATATTTAAAAATTAACATTTTGAATTATACTTTGACATAGGGACGCATTGCTTACATAAAAAGACATTGATCTTTGGTAATTCTAGGTAAGTTGGCCTTGATATGTAGAACTGAAAACATATTCATCAAAGTCATCATCAGTGTTGTCACCAGGTAGGGCATCACTGCTAGACATGTTGTCACATTGATCCTTATCCACACCGCACTTGCACATCTATGTACAAGACAGGCTACTGGTCAAACATTTGCAAGGGGTAGGCATTTGGTCTTTTCACACAAACATTTCATTAGCTGAATGATGGATTCAGGAGTGCATGGTATATTGCACAAAACTGGTGTGTTCAGTTCATCCTCCAAGACCATAGATGCCCAGTAGGGAAGTGTAGTTTTGGATTTGCCTAATCATCCCATCCCAGTACTTTATAATTTGCCCTTGTTAATAACAGGTTTTGACTACCAGGGTACAGTCCAGTCTAATGGAAGGAGGGATAAGTCAGTGGTTTGAACATTGGCCTGCTAAACCCAGGGTTGAGAGTTCAATCCTTGAGGGGGCCATTTAGGGATCTGGGACAAAAATTGGGGATTGGTCCTGCCTTGAGCAGGGGGTTGGACTAGATGACCTCCTGGGGTCCTTTCCAACCCTGATATCCTATGATTATGGGTAGTTGCATCACCCCTTCCTCTACTGTGTGGTGATCTTTACAATGCTCTGCTGCTGTAGCTTCCCTGCCTGGGTTGCTCACAAACAATACTCCTGGGGGAATTCTGCATCACTGTGCAATGCAGAATTTGCACAGAATTAATTTTCTGTGCAGAATTTCATTTCCCCCCCTGCAGAATTGGTGCTGCAGAGCTGCTGGCTGCCACTAGGGACCCCTGGAGCCCAGAGAGCCTGGCTCCTCGGCTTGCAAATAGAGGACATTGCCAGGGGGAGGGGGGCTGAAGGGTTCCAGGCAGCTGCAGTTTCCAGCATTCAGGAAACTCCATACAAGCCTGGAAGCCAGCATCAGGTGGTTTTTCCCTCTGTATTCCTGGGCTCTGGGGGAGATGAGAGTGCAGGTGTCTGGCTCTGTGGCTGGGCTCTGGGGGAAGAGGGGATGTAGATGGCTGGGCTGGGCTCTGGGGAACAGGGAGTGTGGGTGTCTGGGCTGGGGGGCATTCTACAGCTGGGCTCTCGGAAGAGGGGAGTGTGGGTATCTGGCCCCACGGCTGGACTGTGGGTGGGAGGGGGTGCAGGTGTCTGGCCCTGCAGCTGGGCTCTTAGGAGGAGCCAGACATGCACCCCTCAACTGTAAGCCCCCCCCTCCAGCTCCTCCTTCTCCTGACAGTGTCCTCTGTTTGGGAAGCTCTATATGGTAGCCTTAGGGGAGCAAGCCAAAAAAGTTTCCTTTCAAGATGGGCCCAGCTGGTATGCATGACGCACCCAGACTGAGGCGTTCAATAAATGCATAACAGAGAAACAGGAACTAGGTTGTCATACGGGTTTCTTTAACTCTCTATTCCTGGCAGAATATTTTTTCTCTCTGTTACAGACATACTTGCTGATAGGTATTTTGAAATAAATTACCAAAATAATTGAAACTGGCATGACTATATTTTTATTTTGAAAATATGCAGAAGTTTATTAACTACAAAGGAAGAGATTTTAAGTGAATACAAGTAATGAGACATAGGTCAGACAGAACAAAGAGTAATGGTCTCAAGTTGCAGTGGGGGAGGTTTAGTTTGGATATTAGGAAAAACTTTTTCACTAGGGGGGTGGTGAAGCACTAGGGAGGTTGTGGAATACCCTCTGATCCCACTGAGGGTTACCAAAAGAAACTACACCATCTGCTCAAGAAACTCCCTGAAAAAGCACAAGAGCAAATCTGCACAGACACACCCCTAGAACCCCGAGCAGGGTTCTACTCAAGATCTTCTACTCAAGATCCATAAACCTGGAAATCCTGGACACCCCATCATCTCCAGCATTGGCACCTTGACAGCAGGATTGTCTGGCTATGTAGACTCCCTCCTCAGGCCCTACACTACTAGCACTCCTAGCTATCTTTGAGACACCACTGACTTCCTGAGGGCTTCTACATCCATCGGTGATCTTCCTGAAAACACCATCCTGGCCACTATGGATGTAGAAGCCCTATACACCAACATTCTACACAAAGAGGGACTACAAGCTGTCAGGAACAGTATCCCCGATAATGTCATGGCAAACCTGGTGGCTGGACTTTGTCCTCACCCACAACTATTTCACATTTGGGGACAATATATACCTTCAAATCAGCGGCACTGCTATGGGTACCCGCATGGCCCCACAGTATGCCAACATTTTTATGGCTGACTTAGAACAATGCTTCCATAGCTCTTGTCCCCTAATGCCCCTATTCTACTTGTGCTACATTGATGAATTCTTCATCATCTGGACCCATGGAAAAGAAGCCCTTGAGGAATTCCACCATGATTTCAGCAATTTCCATCCCACCATCAACCTCAGCCTGGACCAGTCCACACAAGAGATCCACTTCCTGGACACTACAGTGCTAATAAGTGATGGTCACATAAACACCGCCCTATACCAGAAACCTACTGACCGATATACTTCCCTACATGCCTCCAGCTTTCATCCAGACCACACCACACGATCCATTGTCTACAGCCAAGCTCTACGATACAACTGCATTTGCTCCAACCCCTCAGACAGAGACAAATACCTACAAGATCTCTACAAGCGTTCTTACAACTACAGTACCCACCTGCTGAAGTGAAGAAACAGATTGACAGACAGAAGAGTACCCAGAAGTCACCTACTACAGGACAGGCCCAACAAAGAAAATAACAGAACGCCACTAGCCATCACCTTCAGCCCCCAACTAAAACCTCTCCAGCGCATCATCAGGGATCTACAACCTATCCTGAAGGACAACCCATCACTCTCACAGATCTTGGGAGACAGACCAGTCCTCACTTACAGACAGCCCCCCAACCTGAAGCAAATATTCACCAGCAACCACACAACAAAAACACTAACTCAGGAACCTATCCTTGCAACAAAGCCTGTTGCCAACTGTGTCCACATATCTATTCAGGGGACACCATCGTAGGGCCTAATCACATCAGCCACACTGTCAGAGGCTCGTTCACCTGCACATCTAGCAATGTGATATATGCCATCATGTGCCAGCAATGCCCCTCTGCCATGTACATTGTCCAGTTTGGACAGTCTCTATGTAAAAGAATAAATGGACACAAATCAGACGTCAAGAATTGTAACATTCAAAAATCAGGTCTCAGAGTAACAGCCGTGTTAGTCTGTATTCGCAAAAAGAAAAGGAGTACTTGTGGCACCAGCAGGAGAGTGAATTTGTGTGGGGGGGTGGAGGGTGAGAAAACCTGGATTTGTGCTGGAAATGGCCCACCTGATGATCGCTTTAGATAAGCTATTACCAGCAGGACAGTGGGGTGGGAGGAGGTATTGTTTCATATTCTCTGTGTATATATAAAGTCTGCTGCAGTTTCCACGGTATGCATCCGATGAAGTGAGCTGTAGCTCACGAAAGCTCATGCTCAAATTGGTTAGTCTCTAAGGTGCCACAAGTACTCCTTTTCTTTATTCAAAAATCAGTTGGAGAACACTTCAATCTCTTTGGTCACTTGATTACAGACCTAAAAGTGGCAATATTACAGCAAAAAACTTCAAAAACAGACTCCAATGAGAGACTGCTGAATTGGAATTAATTTGCAAACTGGACACTATTAAATTAGGCTTGAGTAAAGACTGGGAGTGGATGTGTCATTGCACAAAGTAAAACTATTTCCCCATGTTTTTCCCCCCTACTGTTCCTCAGACGTTCTTGTCAACTACTGGAAATGGCCCACCTTGATTATCACTACAAAAGTGGTTCTCCCCCCCCCGGCTCTCCTGCTGGTAATAGCTCAGCTTACCATACACACTGTAACATGAGTGATCAGGTAACACCCATTGTTTCATGTTCTCTGTGTATATAAAATCCCCCTACTGTATTTTCCACTGCATGCATCCGATGAAGTGAGTTGTAGCTCACAAAAGCTTATGCTCAAATAAATTGGTTAGTTTCTAAGGTGCCACAAGTACTCCTCCTTTCCTTCCTTAGAGGTTTTTAAGGTTAGGCTCGACAAAGCCCTTGCTGGGATGATTTAGTTGGGGATTAGTCCTGCTTTGAGCAGGGGGTTGGACTAGATGACCTCCTGAGGTCCCTTCCAACCCTGATATTCTATGAAGTCAGCAATGATTACAAGAAAAATAAAGATAAAATGTTTACTAATACTTAACAAGCTACATTAGATTCAAAGCAAGTTTTCTCACTACATTCTTCAGAAAATTACTGACCAAACTCTTAAGTCAGAACTCCTCCTCCAGGCCTATCCTACTTCCTTTGTCCTTTAGAGGCCATGAATATGATTGGCAGAGAGGGTGTCTTCCCTTCCTCTTTCTAGTCCTCTCCCTGCTTTAAGAAGCATTTCCAGCTAGGAGCATGGTGACAGGCCATTTGTGTGAATGGGAACTCTATGCTGTTTCTTTGCTAAGATGTAGATTTTTTTCACTCACGCCCTCTTTCCTGCCAAAGAATAGCTGCTTAGCAGGTAATGGCTCCTTGACCTTGTTTACACCTAAGGCTAAGGCATCAGCTTGCTATTTGTCTGTGAAGATCTGCTTTGGCCACTCCCCAGACTTGGATCACATATTAATAACACCATGTAATGGAATCTTATAACTTTACATACAATGTTACCATACATATTTTACCGGGATAATAATGACCAGCAAATTATAAGTTTTCAAATGACACCTCACAAGACATACTTTGTACAAAGATTATTACAATAGCAGACACAAAAGTATGTTCTGTCACACATGTATAAATGCACCCATTATTAGTGGCAATTTTTATCTGTCTGTTTTTTGGAAAACATCCACCAGTGTAGCTCTGCCAAGTGTCGTAATGTTGATTTTTAAACATTTTGACGAATATGTATCTACATAATTGTTCTAGGTTTGTCATGTTTGGTACCGTTGTGTTCATGGGTTGAGCTGGGTATAATTTCTCCAATTTCCAGCGACACTGTATTATCAACTTTTCCACCAACCGGAGGACTGGAAACTGCAGAGGCAAGGGGCAGTGAGTCCCCCCTGTCCCCCCCCCCCGGGTCCCCTGCCCCTCCAATGAGCTATTTGAATTACTTACCTTACCGTTTGTTGATACTACGCAGGTTCTCTTTCTCAGTCTCTTCCTTGCCGATAATCTTGGGTCTTAAAAGGTCAGCGTATGACTGGGCCCCTACCCTGACTAGTTGAAGAATTTGAGTGTCTATTGTAAACTATGAATAATTGGGTGTTCAACTGCACCAAGATTTAGTAGCCCAGGGAAAAAAATGAAATGATACTGATCCTGAACTCATAGTGTCTGAATTATGTCAGAAGAAGGCTTAATGGTTAGACTTTCTGGAGCCACAAGCTCGACTTGTGGTACTGTTGATTCGATGCTTGTGAAATGGACAAACTGAATAATATGCACTTTGCTTCTTGGGGATTTTGGTCAAAAGTAGAGTTGGTTGTGTTTTATTGAAAAGTACTGGTTTATTAAACCCATAAAATCTCATGAAAGTGATTTGGGTTTGAAATTTCAACAAATAATCTAGCTTGCTATACCATGATTTCCAGGCTATATGTCCTGGGGCTGGGAGCCTGAAAGCCCTGGGAGATCCAGCTGTAGCTTAGGCTTTCAGGACTTAGTCTCCATGGCAGGGAGCCTGGAAGCCCAGATTCTAGCAGAGGCTTAGCTTCTGATTTCCGAAGCAAGGAGCCTGGAAATCCTGAGGGTTCTCAAAGGTTTCAGGCTCTCTGCCATGGAAGTCTTTACCTCTCTACGTCCATGTCCCCTTACTATTTCTGTGGTTTCACACACTCCTGTTTTAAAGAAGGTCTTCCCCCTGTTGTGTGAAAACCTCCACACAAATGAAAATGGAAACTGACTCATTAGACACAAAATGCAACCAAGTAAACAGGAAAAACACACATCCTTTATTTATAATCTTGGCTGTTACCTCAAATAAATCTAATTTTTCCCAATATAAGTTTGATTTCAGGTATTTATGTCCCATGACGTGATTTTTAGTCACTTCTTGTAAGAGTAGGGGCTTGTGCTTATTAACTTTGGTCAAACTTCTCCCCTCTTACCTTCCATTCTTCCCCAGTGTGCAGTGCAGGCTATGCATCAGTTGTCTAGTTCGATTGGAAAGGAGGACAGCAGCCCAGAGGTGGCTGCACTTCAGTAGTATTGTGAGCATATAGATTTGAAGCAATTAAAATCTGAAAGGTTCTACATAAGGATAACATTTTTTATAACTTTCCAGAGTCTCATTATTTTAAACTAACCTGTCCTTTTCCCCCCTCAGTATGGGCCTGTGTTTAGCTTCACTATGGTGGGCAAGACATTTACCTACCTACTGGGTAGCGATGCTGCTGCTCTAATATTCAACAGTAAAAATGAAGACCTGAATGCAGAGGATGTATACTCTCGACTGACCACACCAGTCTTTGGCAAGGGAGTTGCTTATGATGTACCTAACCCGGTATGTATTTAGAGTACAAAGTCAGTTAAACATCTAGGGTGCAGATCAAATTCTGACAAGGTTGCCATGGGCTGTTTGGACTATATGATGGGGATTGACAATATCTGTGAAATTCTGGTAGCATGGTTTGCCAACACAGTTGCTCATTTTGATTGTTAGGCATAGAGCGACCAAAGGCTGAACACATTTAGACTCTGGTATTGTTTTTTATATGGCCATCTATTGGTTTGGACAATACTTGTGGGTTAGACCTTCTCCTTCCACCATAGTAGAAAACTAGCAATTTAGCCTTCTTTGTTTTCCTTCCTCCTTTGAGTGTATACTTCCTGAGTGCTGCAGCACCTCACTGACCATTTACTTTTAGCCTAAGAGCACCTATAGGCTCACTCCTTTCCGTGGGAGCTTGAGTGAGATTTTCTTTTTCCCCCCTACCAGGCCTATTTGTCCATACAAATGTGAGGCGGTACCACCTCCCCAAGCCACTTCCATAGTCCCTCTCTCTAGCACCAGATCTAAGTGCTTAGTGGTTTTCTTTGCAGAACTTTGCACTTCTGTCCTCACCAGCAGGTGGTATTGAGTTTTCTCAGTGCAGCAGATGGCAGCATAACCCTTCTGTTACCTCTACCCTCTTTGCCTTGTATTCTTGCAGAGGCTGAGACCGGAGAGAGAGGCAGCAGACCTTCCTCCCTGACTGTGGGAGGATGGAGGACTGTGCAAAGTGAAAGCTGAGAGTTTGAGGATGATAGTTATTTAATGTGCTAGGGATGGCTGCATGCTTCAGAAGCATATTCCCATTCTACAGAGAGGGATAGTGGTGGCATACATAAACTGCTATGGAAGAAAAGAGAAAGTTAGAACCATGAGGCCTTCAGAATCCTTTCATTCTTGAAGAGCCAGCTAAACTAAGGCTGACTGGCTCAAATAATTTTAATCAAACCAGTAGGTGGCTGTATATTTGCCATGCTGAAAGTAGCAAGGTGGAATTCTTCTGCAGATTGCCCACAAGTTCATTTCAGAATGGACCAAGAACATGGAACTTGCTGCCAGGAGAAATAAGTGTTCGCTAATCTCACTATTCAGAGCTAAATGCTAAACTCCACTCTTCAACCAAGCTGTCCAATGCTATCCCCATTCTAAGATGCACTTTTAAAAACCCATAAGCTTGGTGGCTGGGAAGGATAAGTGAGTGTTTGCATGGGCTTTTTTTTTGTTTTTTTTGGTACCTACGAGGCTCTCTGGGAAGAGACAATAAGTTGACTGGATAGATAGAAGGTAATTAAAATCTGAACAAGTATAGACAGAATATTGACTTAATGACAAATATTGACGTAAAGAGGTTTGCAGAGGAGTTGCTCCAAATATGAAAGTAAACTTGAATTTCTTTGTAGGTGGTAATGTTCAATTGCTGAAGCTTTTGAGTGTGGAAAAATTAAAAAGCTTTAATTACAATTTAATGACAATGTGCATGTTCTGAAAGCAGTAAGAACCGGATTTAAGTGAATCCTAGAATGCAATTCCACACATTTGCCAGTTTCTGCTCACGAAAGAAGAATCTAGACTTGCTTTTGAAAACCTAGTAGAAGTTTATGTTGGCAGGAACTCAGTTCTATCAGTAGTTCAACGACCAACCAGGATTTCAGTTTTCAGTATTTTGTTCTTTATGTACAGTAATTTTGTAAAATTAAAATAAAATTCCCCACTAGTAATGACAGTGATGTGAGTTGAAAACCTCCCCAGCATTTATAATTTAGCTAAAAGTTCAATAGCATGAATTTCCAAATTAGGTCAGTTTTGAATTCTTTTAATAAAAAAAAAAAAATTTCTTCCTCTATCTGGCTTCATTCCCAAAACATGGAGTAGCAGTAAGAGCCTGAAGCAGAACAGGATAAGAAAGCTTCAGCTGGTATAGAATACAGCAGCCCATCTGCTTGGAAATAATTCCACTACTCTGCTTTCGAAATAGAACCCATTAAAGATCTCTTTTCAAGATAGGCCCTTCTTCTTGAGGGGTTGCTTCTCACTCCAACCATAACCTTCAGCAATGGCTACCTTACACCAGTGCTTACACCAGTACCTGACGTGAAACTTGGTCAGTGGGATACTTGTTAACATGGATAGAACTGTCACAAGAGCTAGACTCAGACTTTGGAACTTAAACTCACAAAATATAAGAATGACTATTGATTTTGTGCTTTCAGAACTAAATGCCAAACCCATTTCTTTGATTAAGCTTCCTCATATGCTACATGAAAATTTAGAGCGGACGGAGCTTGCTACTTTTTAATGCCACTGCAGGTGAAGGAGGGAGATTTTTTTTTTTTTTGGTGAGGTGCACCTACTACACTGAAAACCATGTAAGTATCTAGATCAGTGGTGTCCAACCTCTTCACCCTGAACAAGGTCAAGGGGCCCAATATTTTGGGGCAGAAAATCTTCCCTGTTCTACTAGCTCCTATGTCTCCAGAGGGAGAAGGGAGAATGAGTGAAGTATGTTGTGCTCTAGCTATTCCCAGGTGGCATATAATCTCTTGTGGTCCTCTGTCAGATTGGAGTGTCCTCAGGCAACTTGTGCCTATGCTGCTTTAATCTGGGTTGGTGCAGAGAATTGGGGAGGTCCCCTCTGCCCTGCCCTGGATTGTGTGGGCGGCCATCCTTTACTAGGCACTCTGCTAGGCTAACGCACCCATTTGAGCTCCCTTCCTGCTCTCCCTGGGGCTCCCAGGCAGTGGGGGAGCTGCTGAATAGCTCTAGCACAAGAGGGATAGAAACTGTCTGGTGCACTCCTGGGTCGCAGAGCTGCTCATGGGGCTACAAGGAGAATTTTCATTTTCTGTAATCCTAACTTTCACCCATCGTAGGCCACTTGGAACAGGACTGAGGCTTGATGGTGGAAATTAGTGGATATATTTGGGCTGCTGCCTCTGGGTTTTTTTTTGTTTTTTGACAAACAGCATGAGTTCAGTCTTTGTCTGTTAACCATGATCTTTATAATATGACAGTCATCTAAAATGATATATACAAGGTGGGTGAGGTAATGTGTTTTATTGGACTAACCTCTATTGATGAATGAGACAAGCTTTCAAGATTACACAGAGCTCTTTTTTCAGATCCTGTGTAAACTTGAAAGCATATCTTTTTCAGCAACAATATACTACCTCACCAGCTTTATCTCACTAATATCCTGGGACCAGCATGACTGGTACTATTGCATAGTAATTGCTGGCATACAGCTCCCTACCTTTCCCTAGTGGCCTCAAGATATCCTATATGTTTCTTGCTTTCAAAGGAAATGCACTACCTGAAGCACTGCTGCGGTTCTTGGAAATGGATAATGTTACTGGCAAACAATACAGCATGTTAAGACTGCTCTTTATGTACCCAGTTAGTGGGTAACTTGGCTGAATATGTAAGCTTAATACAATATCAAGTGATCTTCTGTCCCTTTCTGCAATCAAACCATGGAATTTGACTCCAATATGTGAATTAACTGCTATATAGTAACATTCTTGGTATGCCCTATCCAGTGAGAGATACCATTTGCTAATGAACTAGTTCATATTTGTAATTACTGTAGTTATTGGGCTAGTTATGTTTTTGCTTTGAAAACTACATCATGCTACAAAAATGGTAATTTAACTATAATTGAATACATAGAGTACACTAGTGACTGTTGGTGGTGGGTGGCGGGGCACACTGAGATTGCCCAGTCAGGGCAAACTGCAAAGAAAAGGGCAGACTCAAAAGTGCTGGTTATACTTAGATTCACCAAGCCAGCAACAAAACGGCTTCTACAATACCTCACTGGTTGCCCAGAAACCAAAAACATAGTTTCCTTAAAGCAATCCAGCCTTGGGCTCTCACTCAGACAGCCAAGTTAGATATGATGAGGATACTGAAAATCTTGTTCATCATATATAAAGTTCTACCAATCCCAAGAGATTGTACACATTACCCACCAGGTCAATTAATATTTCAGATCTTACCCACGTACACGCTTATAGACAATTCTTATTAACTAAACTAAGATTTATTAAAAAAGAGTGTATTGATTAAAAGATCATTATTCAGTTATGAATCCAGTTCTTAGGTCAGTTTCATAGTAGAGATGGTGAGCTGCTGAATTGCAAAAAGTTCTTTCCAGGATCGGTTAATTAGGTTATAGTCCAAATAGGCAGCCCATATATAGATTTTTGTTCAGATTCTTCCATGAGAATTAGCAAGGTAATCCAGACTGGAGCTGGAGACCTCAGTCTTACGACTCAAGCTTCCCCTGACCAAGCTTAAGCAGATCTGAGGTCTTTTATAGATCTCTGGCAGGTTATCAATAGCCTTGTGACAGCAGGTATTCCTTTGGTGAAGAATAGTGGTTTTGAAATAAAAGCTCCCATTTCCTATGTGTACTCAAATAACCAGTTGGATTCATCAGCATAAGGTAATTATCCATTAAGCAGTTCATAAACGGTTTTTTACAAACTTCAAAGAGCAATATAGATGATATTATTACACTCAAGTTTCATCTAAACGTTAATATTCCCTTTTGATCTCTGAATCGATAGAGTATAGTAATGGATAGGAACCATCTGTTTACATGATTAACATCTAACAAGATAGAAATAAGCACATACAATTAGTATTTACCTCTAATTCTGTAACAATACATGTTTCCATTTCAAAGCTCTAGTCTACCTGCCATGGCTTGGTTATAAGGAATGGCCTTAATTACCATTTATATACTTTTGTAATATGTCTTTAAAGTTTGAATTCAGGTCATTTAGCCTGCTGGTTGCTTAACCCTTTCTGGCTCAGTGTTGCAACACTTAGTTAACATTTTCAGATTTGGGTGTCTAAACTTAGGCACTAAATAAGTGGCCTAATTTTCAAAAGGTGCCCAAGCATCTGCAGCTCCCACTGAAGTCCAATAGGATCTGCAGGTGCTGTTTAGCTATTTGAGTGACTTAGGAACTCTATTTAACTCTGAAAATGTTAGCCAAATGTAGTGCCAAACTTTAATATAGAATATGGTAAATGAGTTCTGCTTTGACACTGTAAGAGATTTGCAACTCCATCACAGTATTGTTGTTGTGGTTTGGATGTCGTTAAGCAAGCATTCTTGCTTGAAAACCAAAGCAACTAAACTCAAATGGAATTTCAGGTTTATAGCTTAGGTTTTGTTTTTAAATTTTGTTCTGGAATTTTTTAAAGCGTGTGTCATTGTGGAATCCTAATCTTGATTTCATTTTACTTTAGCTTCTAGAAGGTTCTACCTGTCCACAGTAACTTCTTTCTTTTTCTATTTCTGCCTTTTCTGTTTTAGTACCACTTGCAATACGCTATTAATGATTAAACTGTAATGACGTACCTCTAATATCTTAACCCTTGCAGGTGTTTTTGGAACAAAAGAAAATGCTAAAAACTGGGCTGAATATAGCTCAGTTTAAACAACACGTACCAGTAATTGAAAAAGAAACAAAGGAGTACTTCAAATCCTGGGGAGACAGTGGAGAAAGAAGTAAGCAAGATCAGATGCTTTGTGTTTTGAAAAGTTACACTGAAGGGAGTGCACGAAGTAGACAAAACTAGCTTCATCTGACAGTATTTTAATCTACTTGAACATTTTTAATAGGAAAAACAGGTCAAACTCTATCAGACATTCCATGCTCAGAAGAACCAGGTACAAAGCATGGAATGCCTTTGCCTACTTAAAGCTCAGGGGAGGATGAAGCCACTCTCAAACTTAGTAGTAGGTGTAAATAGCTAATTTGCTCTTGGCTTTGTAGTTCAGGCTGAATTAGGATAGTTTGGCAGGGGTTAGGCCACTTGTGCCTAATATCTTCACTGTTAAACCAGCAGTTCAGCATTTCTAAATGTTATTCCTTTGTTCCAGAATCAAGATCAATGACTCACATCCTCTTTAAAGAAACAAACCATTTGTACTTCCTTAACTAAAACAGTCTGTCTTAAACCAAATTAGATTAAAAAAATTAATCAGAAAAAATAGACTCCACCTGTCCATTTTATTGGTGAGCATTTATTCCCAAATTTCATTGATTTGAATAGGGCTGCTTCATCATGAGCGTGTTACTCTTGGGGGAATTCTGTGCCACTATGCAATGCAGAATTAATGTTCTGTGCAGAATGTTATTTGTTCTGGCAGAATTGGTGTTGCAGAGCTTCTGGCTGCCACTAGGGGCAGTTGGAGCCTGCAGAGTCTGATTCCCCAGCTCGCAAATATAGGACACTGCTGGGGGTGGGGGAGCTGGAGGCTTCCTGGCAGCTACAATTCCCAATATGCCCTAAAGGTAGGGTGACCAGACTGCAAATGTGAAAAATTTGGGACTAGGGTGGGGGGTAATAGGAGCCTATATAAAAGAGCGGCCCAAAAATCAGGACTGTCCCTATAAAATCAGGACATCTGGTCACCCTACTGGAAGGAAGGAGGTGGTGTGCAGGAAACTCAACACAATCTCAGGACCCAGCATCAGGCTGTTTCTCTCCCTGGGCTCTGGGAGTGGAGGGGGTCTGGGTGTCTGGGCCGGGGAGGGGGGGTTGGCACCCCATAGCTGGGCTCTGGTGGGGGAGGGCGTGTGTGTGTCAGGCCCTGTGATGGGGGCTGGGGTAGGCCCCACAGAACTCCCTCCAGCACCCCCAAATACCCCCTCCCAGTACACACACACCGCTCCAGCACCCCTAGATACCTCCCCCAGCTTTCCTTCCCCCAGTAGTGTCCTCTGTTTGGGAACTTCTATATGGTAACCCCATGGGGGCAGGGAGAACAAACAAGAATCTACTAAAAGACTGGAAGGGCAGACTTTTCCCCAAGATGTGCCAGCTGGCACATGTGACACACCCAGACTGAGGCACCCAACAAAGGCATAACAGAGAAACAGGAACTGAATTGTCATAAGGGTTTCTTTAACTCTCCACTCCTGGAGGAATCTCTTTTGTTGTCTGTATTGTTACAGACATACTTGCTGATAGGTATTCTGAAATAAATTACTAAAATAATCAAAATTGGCATGATTATGTTGTGTTGTTTTGACAACTAATATATGCAGAATTTTTAATTTTTTGGTGGAGAATTCCCCCAGGAGTAGCATGTGCATGAGTAAGAACTGCACAGTTGGGCCCACAGAATAGAAGATGGTTATGACTGAATTACTTGTGTTTCGAGAGCAGTCTTTAAAGCTATGTCAGATTTATCAGTAGAATATTTTTTTATTGCCACTCACCTCTTTTCTGACATGAGCAGTCTTTGTCCAACCCCCCCCAAACCTGACGTTACTCTTTTCAGGGAATGTTTGTTTGCATAGGCTTTAAGATTATCAGTGGAAGATTAGAATTGTACAGAAGCAAATTCTTTTCCTGATAACTGTTGACAACACTTTTTTGGATCCTTTCCAAATAAAACAGCTTTCCTCAAACATAGCCCACCTTTCCTTGCTTGTATATTGGAGTAGCTCAGTAAAAACACTCATATCACTGATGAAGTTAATAATGCCTTCCTTTTGCGTCCTTTGTTGAATTTGTTATGGTCATCTAAGACCCCAGGAAGTCTCTCTTCCTCGGTGATGGATTGTCAAGGATGGATGGATAGTCAGTATGGTCCAATCCACCACTTTTGTGGTGGATTAAGGAACAGATAAAGAGGTTTTTAATCAAGCTAGTTTTAAGACACAACAATGACTAACATACAGACCAGTACCCCAAAATGAAAAGTAGTAATAAAGGAGCCTCTGTAGCTCCTTAACCTGAACTGCCCATAAATTCAGTCTCTTGGGGTCATTCTCAGTGAACCAGCTGCCACTTCCTTCCTCAGTGCTGTCTTCCCTACAGCTCACTAGTAAGTGAGGACTCTGTATTTTAAAGACTCCAGACTCCTTCCTCTTTCCCAGCATGTTTTGTCACATAACGTGACAGCCATAGAATTCTTTCTCCCATTGTAACAGAGCAGCTTGGACATCCTCAAGCAGCTTACTCCTTCCTGTCTACTGTAGGTAAGGCACTGTGCAGAGTAAGCTTTGAGTCCAACCTTCAGGTCTGAGGATTATTGTTCCAAGACTGGCTTCTTGGTATTTTCTCTCTGAAACCAGATCTCATCAGTCTTCTTGTACAAGTGATACACCCTTCTTTTAGAGCTGTGAGCAGGGATCGTAGCACAACATAGCCCTCATCTCCAGTTGAAAAAAATTATCTTGGAAATACTTAAATATTTTTCCTTCAGTTGGTTGAAATGCACCTTATGTTCCCACAAAAGTGCTTCAAATCAACTGTGTGGTGTTGGGGAACGAGTTCAACCATCATGGCAATTACTTCTGGATTTTGTAGGGGTAAATAATAATCAAGTGCCAGTTTGGGCACATGTCGTTTGCACAAGCAGGGGCTTATAGCTGCCTCAGCTACTGAATTCCCCTTTAGTTCTTTACAGTGTTTTCTGTCTTCTCTCCTAACCAGCCTTTCCAGTATCCCCTTCCCACTGTCCCAAAACAGGGATCCATTTGTGGAAGAACACTTTCAGAAACACAGAGGAAAAAATTATTTAAAATTCTCTGTGTGTAGTCTGTTAATACCTTTTTTTGGCGGAAGTGAAAGTAGTGGCCTGTTAATCTTGTCACCATTTCCCCAAAATGCGTGCTGACTGATTTTCCTTTTCCTCCCTTTATTCAGATTTGTTTGAAGCTCTTTCAGAGCTCATTATTTTGACAGCAAGTCATTGTTTACATGGGAAGGAGATCAGAAGCTTACTCAGTGAGAAGGTGGCACAACTGTATGCTGATCTGGATGGGGGATTTACTCATGCAGCTTGGCTTCTGCCAGGTTGGCTTCCTTTGCCTAGCTTCAGGTACCAAAAATAACACGTTAAACTGGATGTACTTAAGATACTTCTGTGCCTGTTTCAGCTATTTACTTAAAACATACTTTATTAAAGATGAATTTTAAATAAAAATGGAATGCAAGGATATTTCCTGTTGGGGAGACTATCAAAACACTGTTTTCATGGTGTAACCCCAACTAGAAATTAGGAAGACAGTTGCTTTTAACTGACATCTAAAAGCATAAGACGTATAGCATGCCTAAAAACATAACAATTACAGCATAACTAAATGTTATCCCCACAACTACTGAGTACCTAAGTTGGAGTCAAAGCATTAAGAATGTGGGTTTGGGAGTTTCTAAACATGTTGATTCAGTATAATTGAGCTGCCTAAATGTAATGCATGTAATTAAGTATATACCGTTCTAGTTCAAAGCACTTTTTGAAGCTTTGTTCATTTTCTACAAAGCAAATGACTTTTATGTAAGATATTTATTATATTGGGTCTGATCCTTCAAGTTCTGCATGAGCACATGGGTTTGTTTGCATCTTGTCTTAAATTCATTTGTATTAAAACTTTAGAATTAAAATGGCTACTACAAATAACACTTTTTTTTTGTATAGTATAATTGTATAGGCCCTTATTCAATAAAGCACTTAAGTGCTTGGTTAACTTCAAGCAAATTAGTAGTTCAAGTGATAATGTCAATACATATTCCATATTAGGTGAATATAGGCCAGTATGCATGTGCTGGAGAATTTCCTAGCAGCAGTACAAACTGGAGGGTACTGTCACATGTGCGCAGAACCATTTTGTTCTATCTGGACAGCACTAAATCCTTCCAAAAATTGCCTAGACTGCTCCTGGCCTGTGCAGAGGGTCTTAAAGGGCAGGCCATATCTTCACAGAGAATATCAAACTGGATTGCCTAGTGTATCTGGACATGTTATCAGTTAGCTGATCTGTAACCACACAACAATGTGAAAGCACGTTCCACCAGGGCACGGTCTATCTCTGTGGCCTTGCTGGCAAACCTCCCCATTCAGGACGTTTGGAAGGCAGAAACCTGGACGTCAGTGCATCCTTTTGTTGAAATTGTATAGTCAGCTCCTTGACTACGTTTTGGTTAGTTATGAAATATGTTCAGTAAACCAAATAACATCTGTCAGGTTTATTGCTCTAAGCCAATAATAATGTACAGAGAAAAGGTTCTCTATGATACCAGTCTCTGGGAAGCTGTCTCATGCAGTGATATTACATTCACCTTTTGCAGATGATGTGCTCACAGAGTTCTACATTTCAGCTGGGTAGTATTTATATGATGATTTTACGAGTCACATATCTCTTTACATGTCACTAAAATCCAACCCAATAGTTTGTCCCAGTTCCCAAACTTCTTGTTCTGTTCCTTCCTTATCTTTGTTTTGGATACTAGCATTTCAGGTACTGGTCCATGAAGGTATTTCCCTAGCTTGCATTAAGCCATAGAATGTGTATCGATGTTGACACGTTTCCTATCTGCTTATGCCAAATGCTTGCTTCAGCAAATGCAAGGTGTTATAGGATACTTAATCTAAATGAACAGGGTTATGGTATAGGCCAGTTTAGGCAACAACAGAATTCTAGTTGTGCTTAATTGCACTGGGTGTTAGGGTATGTTGTAACACAAAGCAGCTCTCTCTCTCTGGCCCATCTCATCAGCTCAGTGGAGCTTGAACCAGTTTTCCCAGTCTTATATTCTTTTGTGTTTCTGGTGTGCACATTGTACTGTGATGCACATTATCCACTCCATATTCCCAGAACTCCTTGATGGAATTACACCTATTGGATCACATACCTAATCTGTTCTGCTCCTCAAATTGGTATCTGAAATTACTATGACCCAGTTAATATTTGGGTAGTAAATGACTCACATGTCACTGAAATATTCCTTTTAAAGACTAGTGGAAACTTTTGTTTAGATAAAATGCCTAAGATACTTATTCACAATCTTTTCGATTGTCACTGATTATTTGCAAAGAAAAATTCTGCACATCTGATAAGTATTTACAGCATTTTGTGTGTTTGTTTTTATACAAAGACTCTAATAAAAATGCTTTGAATTACAGACGTAGAGACAGAGCACATAGAGAAATAAAGAATATTTTCTATAAAGTAATCCGGAAACGTCGGCAATCTGGGGACAGGGAAGATGACATGCTCCAAACATTGCTGGATGTTACCTATAAGTAAGTGAAAGTGTTGAAGGTTTGCCATTTAGAAGCGTAAGGGGGAAGTGCTTAGTATTTTAACAGGGTATACTTCATTTACCAAAATTTTCCAAGTCATTGCTGCATGACTCTTGTCACCCACCCCATCCTCCTCACGTCTCTTCATTGGGTTATTTGGCTTTCTCCTCTTATATGCAGCTTTCTATAGGATTTGGAGAGAACACCTCTTTCCATGCCACTTTGAGGATAATGGGTGGAATTTAGTCTTTTTTGCCACCTTCCTCTAGAGGCTGAAGGAATTCATTTTGTTTAGGTGCAGACTGTGTGAAGCACCCAAACAGTAGATTTCTTAAAACCAAGATTGATTTAAAAATGTAAAGAAAAATCAGACTAAAATACCCCACCTGAATACTGTGCAAAGCTCAGGGAGCTAGGCTTCCTTATCTCAATTATAGAGAAGAAAGATGTTACATGGGTACAAAACAAAACCTGTCCCTCCCCACCCCTTAGTCAGCATAACAGCCTCATTTTCCATCTCACTTACCCAGCCTACTTATCGATCTTTACGGTAAGGAACTCTAAACCCACTAGATGAGGTCACCTCAATGTTTCCATAATGCAGATTTTATCAGGAGTCTCTTCTAGAGAGGATATGCCACAGTTGGTGTCTCCAGTAAAGTTTTGTCTTCTAATCATCTCTGGAAAGCGTCCCAGCCTTCTTATCTTCAAGTCCCATATTTCAAAAGCCCTTTTGAGCTCAATTTCTGTAGCCTAATCAAGGTGGTTGGTTTTTTAATTTCCTTTCCATTATGTACTGCAGGAGTTAGGCTGTACCCCTGTTGCATGCCTCGTTTCTCAACTGTACCCCTGCTGGATGCCTCTAGTTTCTGTTGCCCTCAAGCCTCTTTTGAAATCTTTCAGCAGTTTCTTCTACCATGACATATATATTGACAGACCCTTTCTCACACCTCTGTTCTCAGTAGAAAGAAAAAGAATTGAGTCTGAGTCAGTAAAATTCCATGCACAAATGGCAGACTTAAGGTGTGGTCTTGCCAAGTTCATTACTAGCTGTGTTTAAGTGTAGATCAAAAGGTTAGGAGGTTTTGTTGTAGATGCTTAGCCAAATGTTGGAGGCAGCTGTCAGATAGCTGTTGCTTTTCTCCCTCATGGCAGCCATGTGATGACTTTCTCTCTAGCTCCTTGCCTTGCAATCTCTCTTCTTTCCCATGCATCTGCAGTTCCCCAACTGGAGGAAGGAAAAAAACTGAAGCTAAAAGTATCTACAGTCCAACATTTAACATGATGTATGGCACTATATCTGGATACCTAATCAAGTAAAGCTAGCATGTTTTTTATTTCCTTAATCTAGGGATGGCCGTCTGCTGACAGACGATGAGATTGCAGGAATGCTTATTGGGTTGTTGTTAGCAGGCCAGCATACCTCTTCTACCACCAGTGCTTGGCTTGGCTTCTTTTTAGCTAGAGACAAATCAATACAGGAACAATGCTATGCAGAACAGAAAACAGTTTGTGGAGAAGACTTGAAGCCCCTAAATTATGACCAGGTTTGTTTGTTTATATAACTTTCAGGCTATCTTTAAATTTTTGAAAATGAATTTATAAAAATGTTTTAAACTCTTACTCAGATACTGTTACAATTACAGCATCTGTCACATGTATGCTAGATGCTCATATCCTTGAACTTGGTGAATGAAAGCAGGTTTTGGTGGTAGCTTGTATTCTAGTATCACCTTCTGGATAGTGGAATTTTTTTAATTCAATCAAATAAAGCAGAAACAAACAGGGTAGCTACTGAAGTATATATTTGGAATTATGTATTTAATATATGAGCAGCTTATCACACGGATTTTTCAAATGGAAAAATACTGTTTTATGAATGTTAAATATTCCTAAATCATGAGGAAACTGATAAAGTTTACTATATTTGCAGCTGAAGGAGCTGAACATGCTGGACCGCTGTCTGAAAGAAACTTTAAGGCTTAGACCTCCTATAATGACCATGATGAGAATGGCCAGAACTCCCCAGGTGAGCATATTTGTTGACTCTGTCCAGATCAGTGGTGTGGCTGTAATGTACATCAATTGTAAATCTGTAGTAGATAGGGAATGACAGTCAGAAAGGATGCAAGTCCAAACTAGGTTTTTAACTTAGCAAATGTCACCGACGAGATTAGCAAGTTATGCAGTGAGCTGCACAGTGTGCAGAACGCTAATTAGCACAGGGGCATAGGAGGACTGGAATTTGATGGTTTCAGCTTATTCCTGTCAGACCAGGGAAAATGAAGAAGAGTTTGGGAGCCAGCGGCACTAATCTGTTTATCAGAGAACTTGTTGTGGCATTTTTGTTGTACCTTGCTAAATCACCGATGCTGTGGGTCTGTTATACCCTTTTTCTTTTAAGGGCATAAAGATCAGGATCTCCCCTGCCTTGAAACTTGTCTACGTTCTGCACTTGTGAATATGAAATTAGTATATTTAATTTTATTTATTGTACTGTGGTATTTCTGTTGGTAAACTAATCTTGCTTCCTCCTGAAGGGCCTTCTGTCTCCTACATTGACACTTGTTCCTTTGTACTTTGAAAAACACAGTGCTATCTAGTGTGAACTTTTCATCTCTTGCCTCTTGGTCTTAGTTTGATTTGTAGTTTTTCTAACCTGTTAGTACCCTGCCCTTCTTACCTGATATACCTCACATCTGCTTTGCAATGCACATAGGCTGAGCACTGATGTCAGCTGATCTGAAAATGAGGCCTATATGTCTCTGATATTAAGCAGTCTGATTACCTCTGACTGTCCCCTTGGGCACAAACAATAGATTTCTTTAAAAAAACATCTCTCTACAGGTGAGTGAGAGAGCAACTGATGTTGGAGTGGAGTGCTGTTTGGGTTTTGGTTAATAAATATTCTTGTATAACTGCTGTTCTATGATGTGGAAGAGAACATGCTTAACTTCAGATTTTAAAACTTTTATTTTTACTGTTTGTAGTGTTTGGATGCTTACTTGAATGACCTTAACTGCATTGCAGCTAAGTCTTTCATGTGTGTGGGTACTGAGAGATCTAGTTCTGTTTCGGGAATGAACAAGTCAAGCTGATGATCGCAGATATATCACTATGTATAACATTTTAAGGGGGGGAAAAAAAAGTGATACTTTCCTTACTAGGTCTTACTATTTTCATCTCAGTCTAGTTCAACAATAGATGGAGCTGTAACACAGGCTCCTTTATTCTGAAAGTACCTTGTTTAACTCCAAGGAAAGGAAGCTTTTTCTCTTGTGTAACACGCTGTTCTGTTTCTTTTTGCATGCATGCATGAGAAACCAGAACACTTTTTCTCTCCAAACACCCCTTTTGTCTTTACAGGTATTTCTCAAGGTTTCAGGCTACTATCTTGATGGGGTGCCCAATATTGCTTCTAATGCAACTGACAAATTTTCTTACACTTGTCTTTCCCTATTTAAATTTTCTTTAAATGACAAAAAAAAAAAAAATCACACAAAGAGATCCACAAATCTTCTGTAGTAAGAGACCCCTTCAATAGGAGGCTTTTTGTGTGTGAAAATAAGCTCAACACTTGCTCATGCGACATGCATGGTCATGGCTAGGGTCCCAGGGACACAGTCCCATCTTTGGAAGGGAGGCAGAACAGTAGTAATGTCAGCATCTTTTACCCGAACATGCATCTTTCCAGATTCTATCCTCAGTCAGTGAGGGGTGGGTGAAACAGAATCTAAAGATTGAGTAAACTGGAACAATAAAAAAAAAAAAAAAAAGCCTGGGGCATAATTACCAAAAGGGCTCTGAAGATTTGGAGAATGGTGTGCAACACTTGAGAGAGAGAGAGGATGGCAGTGCTAATTTCCTTTCCTTTCCTTTCCTACTTTGTTTCTTTTTAATTTTTTTACTCCTTTCAGTCTTGATCAGTCTCCCCAAGCAGAGTTGGCCCCGTTTCCTAGCATGCAGTCACAGAACTTCATTGTCTGGCTGTAAAGTCTGTTTTACTGTATTACGCAGGCAGTACTTCTTTTGTCTTTATATTTACTTAACAGCTACACTTACATACTGTGTCCCAAATAAACCTGCTGTACATAAGATGCCAGTTTGGGAGCAAAGTATTCTTGAAAGTATATTCACCTGGGCATCATGATTAATATGAAACGCATTTTCACCAAAACTGGAAAGTCCTTGTGCAACCTGCACCATTTTTAAAATTTTCTTCTTTTAATTTTTAAAAGAATTTGTTGTGCAGAGGAAATGAGCTCACTCCGTGTTCATAAGCTACGTATTACAACGATCTGAATACAGTACGTAGCATACATTCCCCTACTACCGCAGACAACCTCCACCCTATACTACTATTCATAAATGTATCAAGCTGTATCTTAACACTAGTTGTTGTTTGCTCCTACTACTCATATTGGAAAGCTGTTCCAGAACCTCATTCCTCTGATGACTAGAAATCTTCTAATTTCCAGATTAAATTTATTCAGGGCCGGTTATATCCATTTATTCTTATGCCAACATTGTCCTTTATAAATGCACCAAGGGTAAATACCAAAGAGGGAGAAGAACTATTTTAAAGTTGTGTCTCAGCCTTTATTTTGCCAGGGTAAACAAGCCAAGCTTTCTTAATCTTATTCTAGGTTTTCCATTCTCCATATCTTCCTAATAGCTCTTCTCTGCACCTGTTTTGACTGAATTCATCTTTCTTGACCATCGGTGTGACTAGACTTAAACATAGTATTCCAGCGGAGGTCCAGATTAGAGTTAGACTACTCTAATTATTCAACTAAAAAAAACTCTTTATAAACCAAGCTGAGGATGACACTGGGAGAACTTTTGCAGAAGGGAAAAGGGAGAACTGCTTTTTGTAACAGGACTTTTGTTTATTTTTTGTTTTTTTCCTTGTAGACTGTTGCTGGCTATACTATTCCTCCTGGCCATCAGGTTTGCGTATCTCCCACAGTTAATCACAGACTTAAGGATTCCTGGATAGAAAGTTTAGAATTCAAACCTGACCGTTACCTCCACGATAACCCTGCAGCTGGAGAGAAGTTTGCATATGTGCCATTTGGTGCTGGTAAGTCCAATGATACACTCAGAAATTGCATTAGGACTTAAGGGTTCTCAAACTTCATTGCACCGTGGCCCCCTTCTGACAACAGGAGGGGGCTGGAGCGGGAGTCAGCGTGAGCCCTGCTGCCCCAGGTGGGGCTGGAGCTAGGGTTTCAGCCCTGGGTCTCAGCAAGTCTAATGCTGGCCAACGTGACCCCATTACAATTGGGTCGTAACCCACTTTGGGGTATTGACCCAGAGTTTGAGAACCAGTGCATTGATAAAATAGCAGCATCTTAGTAATTCAAACATCTGTTACCCAATGCCACCTTCACTTTTAAACTAAAGGGACTTAGTCGATTTTAAAATCTAGTCCATTGGAAGTATTTTTTGGTACAACACTTGAGTCCTTGCCATTGTGTGGTCTTACACCCACACTGTCCAAAGTTTTTTGAAAGTTTTTCTCTTGTTGCTTTGTAAAAGACCCTCTCAAATGGGAGACTGATCAGATGAGGAGAGAAAGTGAAACTGACTGTAAAAGTGCTGTTTAATGCATGAAGTAAAAAGTTTTGTCTTCTATTTCAATTAATGTAATTTTAGTTTTTGCATGTCTAAAGATTCCTTGCTTACTGCTCCAAGCATGTCTTTCAAGTTTGTTTACTTATTGTCAAGGGGAAAAAACTACACTAACGTTCACTGTGCAGAGTTCAATTCTGATGGCAACAATAACTGTATCATTGTACATAACATTCAGAGGAAAGTTTTATGACTGATCTGGGAATAACTTTTCAATGTGTGTTCTCTCTTAATGCTGAATTAATGAAGATTTTTGCCAAGAAAATAAAGCAGATTCTGTTCTGTAGATAGTATGTGAGATTTGCTGCTGTGAAGATTGTTTTAATTTCAAATTCAACCCTATGTACTACTCCTATTAACCAGTAGTGGTATGGCTGTTAAAGATATACACATGTGCTTATTCCTACTGATGTCCATCAGTCTTAAGTATGTGCTTTGCTGAAGCAGTACCATAAACAGTTGTTTAAATACATTGAAAGAAAGCAGTGTACAGTTTAAAGCTAATTGTTTAACTCTTTATTTTAGCTCATGATGCATTACAAAATGCATTAACTATTCTCCTCTTGGGTTTTCTTCTAGGCCGTCATCGTTGCATCGGAGAAAACTTTGCTTATGTTCAGATTAAGACTATTTGGTCTACTCTGCTTCGTTTATATGAATTTGATCTCATCAATGGATATTTTCCTACTGTAAACTATACAACTATGATTCACACACCTGATAACCCAGTTATCAGATACAAAAAGCGATCACACTAAGTTTGAGACAAAATTATTTCTCTATTTAAATAAATTGACACAATTAAATGGTTAATAGAAAAGCTGGTCCATTGGATGTGTAGTGTTACGAAAGTGAGGTTAATTTAGCTGTAAAATGTGAAATTGTTGTACACTGCACAGTACTGTACATTCTAAATTACACAACTAAAAAAGAAAGTGTCTGGTTAACAATTTTAAGATGGATGCTCCATATCAGTATAGGTGAATCCAACTGGTCAGTCAAATTTTAGGACAGGTGAACATCTAATTTTTTTTTGCAAGCTTAAATTTTAATTGGTGCTTTTAAAAAACCTATTTTCCTTGATTCAGCTACTTTAAGGGGCAAGACTATGCTCTCATGGACATCCATGGGAACTGATGTGTATTTTAATGTGAACAAGTTGGAACCTGCTCACTTTGCAGATTTTCAGCCCTATCTATGTTTGGAGAAGTGAACACTTTTCATGAGAATGCTTGATAGTTCTTTATATAAAAATTGCCATGGGTTTTAATCTAGAAAACCATAATATTTTCAAATGTGACAAGTGATTTAAGTGCTCATCTTGAGACAGTTTTTAAGGGTTGGGATTTTCAGAAAGTGCTGAACTGTCAACTCTCTGAAAATTAGTTTCATTTTAAATTATGTAAAATTAGTCACACTTGAAAGTCTTGGTTTCAGTGCAAAGATTAGCAGTAGAACCTTACAAATCCAGAATTAATAGTTAAGAGTAAGCAGAGCAAGGCAGTTGTATCCCATGTATATCTGAGAAGTGTAGTTTCTTTAACTCTGTTCATTTTGTACTAAAGGAAGTGAATGAAAACTAGTGTGTACTACTGTATTAACTAGGAGTATATCCAGTGTTTAGAATGATGTAGAGGGAAGAATGGGTACTATAAAAACTTGTTTTAAGAACTGCCTGCTGTTTGGGGGACAAAGTCCTATTAATAGCCAACCTTCTGCAACCCTTTACTATTAAATCTTGGCAACCACTGAAGCTGTTCACAAAGAGGCACAGTGAATTAATAAGGTTCTTCTCCCATAATTCACATGGGAAGGGGTAACTTATTTCAGGACTGTTAAATGTTGTACTTGTGTAGTAGAAAATAGCTCTGATGTGACTTGCAGAAATTTTTCATTAAAATTTATAAACTTAGTTTCCTGTGCTCAGAACACTGTTCATACTTTTAGAAAAATATAGAAAGTAAGCTCTTTTAATAAAGGAATGGATAAATGTGAACTTAAGCCAGCCTGATGCTAAGGGTATGTCTACACTACGGAATAAGGTCGAATTTATAGAAGTCGGTTTTATATATTCGAGTGTGTGTCTCCCCACAGAAAATGCTCTAAGTGCATTAACTCAGCGGAGTGCTTCCACAGTACGGAGGCTAGAGTCGACTTCCGGAGCGTTGCACTGTGGGTAGCTATCCCACAGTTCCTGCAGTCTCTGCTGCCCATTGGAATTCTGGGTTGAGATCCCAATGCCTGATGGGGCTAAAACATTGTTGCGGGTGGTTCTGGGTACATATCGTCAGGCCCCCGTTCCCTCCCTCCCTCCATGAAAGCAAGGGCAGACAATCATTTCGCGCCTTTTTTCCTGAGTTACCTGTGCAGACGCCATACCACGGCAAGCATGGAGCCTGCTCAGGTAACCGTCACCCTATGTCTCCTGGGTGCTGGCAGATGCGGTACAGCATTGCTAAACAGTAGCAGCAACCCATTGCCTTCTGGCAGCAGACGGTGCAATACGACTGGTAGTTGTCCTCGTCGTGTCCGAGGTGCTCCTGACCAAGTCGGCTGGGAGCGCCTGGGCAGACATGGGCTCAGGGACTAAATTTGGAGTGACTTGACCAGGTCATTCTCTTTAGTCCTGCAGTCAGTCCTATTGAACCGTCTTATGGTGAGCGGGCAGGCGATACGGACTGCTAGCAGTCGTACTGTACCATCTTCTGCCAGGGAGGCAAGAGATGAGGATGGCTAGCAGTCGTACTGTACCATCTTCTGCCGAGCAGCCATGAGATGTGGATGGCATGCAGTCCGTCTGCTGCCAGCCAAAGATGTAAAAGATAGATGGAGTGGGTCAAAACAAGAAATAGACCAGATTTGTTTTGTACTCATTTGCCTCCTCCCCTGTCTAGGGGACTCATTCCTCTAGATCACACTGCAGTCACTCACAGAGAAGGTGCAGTGAGGTAAATCTAGGCATGTATCAGTCAGAGGCCAGGCTAACCTCCTTGTTCCAATAAGAATGATAACTTAGGTGCACCATTTCTTATTGGAACTCTCCGTGAAGTCCTGCCTGAAATACTCCTTGATGTAAAGACACCCCCTTTGTTGATTTTAGCTCCCTGAAGCCAACCCTGTAAGCCGTGTCGTCAGTCGCCCCTCCCTCCGTCAGAGCAACGGCAGACAATCGTTCCGCACCTTTTTTCTGTGCGGACGCCATACCACGGCAAGCATGGAGGCCGCTCAGCTCACTTTGGCAATTAGGAGCACATTAAACACCACACGCATTATCCAGCAGTATATGCAGCACCAGAACCTGGCAAAGCGATACCGGGCGAGGAGACGACGTCAGCACGGTCACGTGAGTGATCAGGACATGGACACAGATTTCTCTGAAAGCATGGGCCCTGCCAATGCATGCATCATGGTGCTAATGGGGCAGGTTCATGCTGTGGAACGCCGATTCTGGGCTCGGGAAACAAGCACAGACTGGTGGGACCGCATAGTGTTGCAGGTCTGGGACGATTCCCAGTGGCTGCAAAACTTTCGCATGCGTAAGGGCACTTTCATGGAACTTTGACTTGCTTTCCTCTGCCCTGAGGCGCATGAATACCAAGATGAGAGCAGCCCTCACAGTTGAGAAGCGAGTGGCGATAGCCCTGTGGAAGCTTGCAACACCAGACAGCTACCGGTCAGTTGGGAATCAATTTGGAGTGGGCAAATCTACTGTGGGGGCTGCTGTGATGCAAGTAGCCCACGCAATCAAAGATCTGCTGATATCAAGAGTAGTGACCCTGGGAAATGTGCAGGTCATAGTGGATGGCTTTGCTGCAATGGGATTCCCTAACTGTGGTGGGGCTATAGACGGAACCCATATCCCTATCTTGGCACCGGAGCACCAAGCCGCCGAGTACATAAACCGCAAGGGGTACTTTTCGATAGTGCTGCAAGCTCTGGTGGATCACAAGGGACGTTTCACCAACATCAACGTGGGATGGCCGGGAAAGGTGCATGATGCTCGCATCTTCAGGAACTCTGGTCTGTTTCAAAAGCTGCAGGAAGGGACTTTATTCCCAGACCAGAAAATAACTGTTGGGGATGTTGAAATGCCTATATGTATCCTTGGGGACCCAGCCTACCCCTTAATGCCATGGCTCATGAAGCCGTACACAGGCAGCCTGGACAGTAGTCAGGAGCTGTTCAACTACAGGCTGAGCAAGTGCAGAATGGTGGTAGAATGTGCATTTGGACATTTAAAGGCGCGCTGGCGCAGTTTACTGACTCGCTTAGACCTCAGCGAAACCAATATTCCCACTGTTATTACTGCTTGCTGTGTGCTCCACAATATCTGTGAGAGTAAGGGGGAGACGTTTATGGCGGGGTGGGAGGTTGAGGCAAATCGCCTGGGTGCTGGTTACACGCAGCCAGACACCAGGGCGGTTAGAAGAGCACAGGAGAGCGCGGTACGCATCAGAGAAGCTTTGAAAACCAGTTTCATGACTGGCCAGGCTACGGTGTGAAAGTTCTGTTTGTTTCTCCTTGATGAAGCCCCCCGCCCCTTGGTTCACTCTAGTTCCCTGTAAGCTAACCACCCGCCCCTCCTCCCTTCAATCACCGCTTGCAGAGGCAATAAAGTCATTGTTGCTTCACATTCATGCATTCTTTATTCATTCATCACACAAATAGGGGGATGACTACCAAGGTAGCCCAGGAGGGGTGGTGGAGGAGGGAAGGAAAATGCCACACAGCACTTTAAGCACAGCACTTTAAAAGTTTACAACTTTAAAATTTATTGAATGACAGCCTTCTTTTTTTTGGGCAATCCTCTGTGGTGGAGTGGCTGGTTGGCCGGTGGCCCCCCCACCGCGTTCTTGGGCGTCTGGGTGTGGAGGCTATGGAACTTGGGGAGGAGGGCGGTTGGTTACAGAGGGGCTGCAGTGGCAGTCTGTGCTCCAGCTGCCTTTGCTGCAGCTCAACCATACACTGGAGCATACTGGTTTGGTCCTGCAGCAGCCTCAGCATTGAATCCTGCCTCCTCTCACCACGCTGCCGCCACATTTGAGCTTCAGCCCTGTCTTCAGCCCGCCACTTACTCTCTTCAGCCCGCCACCTCTCCTCCCGGTCATTTTGTGCTTTCCAGCACTCTGACATTATTTGCCTCCACGCATTCGTCTGTGCTCTGTCAGTGTAGGAGGACAGCATGAGCTCGGAGAACATTTCATCGCGAGTGCGTTTTTTGTTCTTTCTAAGCTTCACTAGCCTCTGGGAAGGAGAAGATCCTGTGATCATTGAAACACATGCAGCTGGTGGAGAAAAAAAAAGGGACAGCGGTATTTAAAAAGACACATTTTATAAAACAGTGGCTACACTCTTTCAGGGTAAACCTTGCTGTTAACATTACATACATAGCACATGTGCTTTTGTTACAAGGTCGCATTTTGCCTCCTCCCACCGCGTGACTACCCCCTCAACCTTCCCCCCTCCCTGTGGCTAACAGCGGGGAACATTTCTGTTTAGCCACAGGCAAACAGCCCAGCAGGAATGGGCTCCTCTGAGTGTCCCCTGAAGAAAAGCACTCTATTTCAACCAGGTGACCATGAATTATATCTCACTCTCCTGAGGATAACACAGAGAGATAAAGAACGGATGTTGTTTGAATGCCAGCAAACATACACTGCAATGCTTTGTTCTACAATGATTCCCGAGTACGTGTTACTGGCCTGGAGTGGTAAAGTGTCCTACCATGAAGGACGCAATAAGGCTGCCCTCCCCAGAAACCTTTTGCAAAGGCTTTAGGACTACATCTAGGAGAACCGCAAATGCCAGGGCAAAGTAATCCTTTCACATGCTTGCTTTTAAACCATGTATAGTATTTTAAAAGGTACACTCACCAGAGGTCCCTTCTCCGCCTGCTGGGTCCAGGAGGCAGCCTTGGGTGGGTTCGGGGGGTACTGGCTCCAGGTCTAGGGTGAGAAACAGTTCCTGGCTGTCGGGAAAACCGGTTTCTCTGCTTGCTTGCTGTGAGCTAGCTACAACCTCCTCATCATCATCATCTTCTTCGTCCCCAAAACCTGCTTCCGTATTGCCTCCATCTCCATTGAAGGAGTCAAACAACACGGCTGGGGTAGTGGTGGCTGAACCCCCTAAAATGGCATGCAGCTCATCATAGAAACGGCATGTTTGGGGCTCTGACCCAGAGTGGCTGTTCGCCTCTCTGGTTTTCTGGTAGGCTTGCCTCAGCTCCTTCAGTTTCACGCGGCACTGCTTCGGGTCCCTGTTATGGCCTCTGTCCTTCATGCCCTGGGAGATTTTCACAAAGGTTTTGGCATTTCGAAAACTGGAACGGAGTTCTGATAGCACGGATTCCTCTCCCCAAACAGCGATCAGATCCCGTACCTCCCGTTCAGTCCATGCTGGAACTCTTTTGCGATTCTGGGACTCCATCATGGTCACCTGTGCTGATGAGCTCTGCATGGTCACCTGCAGCTTGCCACGCTGGCCAAACAGGAAATGAGATTCAAAAGTTCGCGGTTCTTTTCCTGTCTACCTGGCCAGTGCATCTGAGTTGAGAGTGCTGTCCAGAGCGGTCATAATGGAGCACTCTGGGATAGCTCCTGGAGGCCAATACCATCGAATTGTGTCCACAGTACCCCAAATTCGAGCCGGCAACGTCGATTTAAGCACTAATCCACTTGTCAGGGGTGGAGTAAGGAAATCGATTTTAAGAGCCCTTTAAGTCGAAATAAAGGGCTTCATTGTGTGGACGGGTGCAGGTTTACATCGATTTAACGCTGCTAAATTCGACCTAAAGTCCTAGTGTAGACCAGGGCTAACACTAGTTAGTAACAAAACTTTGTGGCCACAACGAAGTGAAAATCTCATTAACTACCACTTCTCCATTTTTAAAGACTAACATAAAAAAGCCCTTAGCTGGCAAGCTGTTGCCTTAGGAAACTCCCCTGGCAGAGTGGCTGAGTAAAATTAATTCCTAATCATTTCCTTGTACTAGAACATCAGGCTGAGTCTGGACTTCTTCCCTAGGCAGTGCTCTGGTGCTTACCAGGAATCCTCTTGCCTATCCCTGAAGCCGAAACTAGCAAGAATCAGGGTTTAGTTACCTTTTAATAGTGTGCACAAGAAATGCTCCTGTACTTAAAATAACCTAAAACAACAAGTAAAAGGATGAAGTCATCTTTATTTCAGTACTTTGACAAAATACCCTTAAAATTCAAAACTTCTACCTTACAAAAATAGGTCTCTACAAGTGATATTCTGTCTGCACTGCCAGTAGCAAATATTAGGACAGAGTTGTGTAGTTTTGTCAAAGTGCAGTACACTTTCAGCTACACATTCAACAATCAAATACACAAGCATCATCTCCTGGCATCCCATTTGATAAATACACTTTTTATAACTTAATCATTTAAATTAGCATTCCACAAATATACATGTAATTTAATGATTTTTGAATGAACACAAAGTGCCTATATACATAAATTCCAGTCTGTGTGGATGTGCCAGCAAGAGAACTGTGTAATCATACAGCTGTGTTCAGGTTGGTCCCACAATATACACATTCTACAAAAGCACAGAGAGCACAAAGGTAGTTCATTCATTATCATTACCATGATGGAGATGTTGAAAGGATATTATCTTCTAACACCAGAGTGCAAATGAGTGTAGGAAGTAGAACCTGTAAGATTTAAAAAACAGAGTTAGTACTTGGAGAAATTAGATGATGTGTAGTCAGCATTAGTTATCTGACATTTCTGCAAGACTTCAGCTGACCTGTGCAGATTCTACTATAAAGTAAAAGATATACTTCAAGAACAAAACTACTTGTTTCTAAATTCTGTTTTGTTAAAGTGGTTTGACTCCTTATCAAACTAGACGTGGGTCAGTCTGAACCGTTCCTGCTAGAACTTTTAACTCCAGTATTTCTTACTGGAAGAGCCTTTTCAGAAAGTGTGATTAAACATGCTGCAGTGTATCATCCAGTACTTGTCAGCATGTGAATAGGACAACTGAGCCAAACAGCACAAAAAAATGATTAAACAGGAGGAATCTTGATACAAAAGAGTTTACCAAAACCACGCCCCTGTCTCTCTTAGATGTTGATTAAAACCTTGCTGCAAATTTATTAGACAGCCCCAGCAAAAGCTTCAGTACATAACTGAATACAGTTTCATTCCTATATAGTTTCTGACCACTCTCATGGGTAGTGGGCTTTTTGTTCCTTGAGTTCAGCTGTGAGTTTTCCCCTTTGTTTAAGACTGAACCTGAGAAACCAGCATATACTTTCTAACTCAGAACAGGTATTCTGTGTCTTTGTACCAGGAAAAGGAAAGTTTGAGTATTTTACCTGATTGTACGCTTCCAAGTCGCCTCTGTAGTGCCTCCAGTCGATTGATATAATCTGTTAAAGCTCTGTCAGGATCATAATTCTGCAGCTGAGAACATGCAAGGGAAGCTGGGCTTAAATCAACATGGATGCCCTGGAACCTAGCAGAAGAAAAACAATGAGCTGTAGGTTTCAAAAATCGAAGTTCCTGTACAAAAATCCTACTCTTTAGTGTTGTACTGTGAGCTGGAGTCTGTGACTCAGATGTGCTGCTGGAGGGTTGTTGGTTTTTTTTCTTCAGTGTAGATGTACCCTCAGCTGCCTACCTTCCCTGCTATTCCCAAGATTTCTGTTGCATTCCTTTGAGGCAAAAATCACAAGTAAGTCTCCTACTGAGACTGCATAAAACATGCAGAAGTAGCAGTTTCAAGTACAGTTGTTTTAAAAATTTCTTCTAAGAAAAAGCAGGATGTTTGAAGAATATCTATATATGGTTTTAGTTCTCCTCCATAGTTTCCAGCTGCACATTAAAAACCACTACAACTAGATTAAATACTTTTCCATGTAACCAACTGCTGTAGTTGCCATAGGTTATGAGATTGCAAATGAGAGGGGAGACTGTACAGTAGTGGGAGAGAAAGTGTCCATGGCACTAGGTGAAAATACATCCCCCAGCTTGAGAACGACTGGAGCCTGATTTTTCAGAAGTGCTTGTCTTGGCGGTGAAATATTGGCTCCAGTGACTTCAACAGTGCTCGGATTTCATGGTGGTGTCCTAGTGGTGATGCTCTGAATGTCCATAGATAAGGGCTTGGCATGAGGAGCTAGAAGCATTTACATAATTTTGAAGCAACCCCATTTTCTGATTTATTAATACTGTTGATGGTTTCTGAAGAACATTATGTTCCTCAGAAGGTAGGAGACTGCAAGGTTAGACCTTGAACAGAAAATATATAGCATATTACATAGCAAACTGTGAAATTTCCACACTCCTAAAGTGCATTAGTATTAATTGTAGAAATAAACTTTTCAGACAAAGAATAATTATTTAACAAACTTACCTGTGCTGAAAATTTATAGGAGATCTGAGAGACTCTAGTTCTGATCTAGATCTATCAGAAGAATGTCTTTGTTCTCCATAGAGCTCCAGACCACCAGCTAATGAATCAGGCCTTAGCTCGTGACCTAAAATAACAAACAAGTATTATCTATACAAAAAATATCAACTTGTGAAAATCAGACATTTTGCAGTTTGACAGATATCCCAGGTGCACTCTGTTTTACATGTGGTAAAGTAAGTTAAAAACTACAGCTAGTTAAGGAAGTGCAGCTATTACTGCCTACCAAGCTGACCAATACTGTTTACTTGTTCTCCTTCCTCTGGTTACAGCCACTTCTTGTGTTACACTTAGACTGTAAGCTATTTTGGAGCAGGGACTGTCTTTTAGTTCTGTGTTTGTACCGCATGTGGTACAATGTGGGCTTCAGCCATGACTGGGGATCGTAGCCACTGCAGCAAAATAGATAATTATTAATAAAAGCAACTGCCACTGTTTGATCACCTGTTTTGACACCTAATCTGAAATTAGGAAGGCCATAGAATAGATAAGAAATAAATTCACATATACTCACAAACTGCATGTCTTAGAAGTTTAAGACCAAGGAAGTCTCAAACAGCTGTAACTGCTCTTCTGTTTAGTAAGAGTAATTTTTGTAAAATGGAAATTTTATGTTCTACTATGAGCTTTCCCAGCATATAACTATGGGTTGCTTCCCCTCCTCTCATTCACGTACAGTAGTTACAACTTTTCAGGCTCTTGGTGCTTCCTGCTACCAAGATCCAGTCAAAACTTCCTTGCGGCGCACTCAAAAATAGCTATTTTAACTGTACACAGTAACTATGAATATTGGTGGAGCTTTACAACCAGGACTGGGAGCTCTGCAGAAAAACAGTTTTCAGGCAGAAAAGTTAGATTTCCTTTTCTACTCCATAGGCTGGAGCTACGGGATTCTGCCGAGCAGTACCCTAATTTGCATATGGCTGGCACTGCACTGAGTAATTTAGAACTATAATTCTGATGTAGCACTATATTAACACCATAATACTTAGTGCACATGTAGTCTGCGCTCCCAGTCATTTTCCAGCAGACTTCCATTGCTAAAGCAGACTCACATTCAGCCCAGGAGGCTCTCTTGAACCTCAGGAAATAGAGAGGTTTCAGAGTAACAGCCGTGTTAGTCTGTATTCGCAAAAAGAAAAGGAGTACTTGTGGCACCTTAGAGACTAACCAATTTATCTGAGCATGAGCTTTCATGAGCTACAGCTCACTTCATCGGATGCATACCGTGGAAACTGCAGCAGACTTTATATACACACAGAGAATATGAAACAATACCTCCTCCCACCCCACTGTCCTGCTGGTAATAGCTTATCAAAAATGATCATCAAGTTGGGCCATTTCCAGCACAAATCCAGGTTTTCTCACCCTCCACCCCCCCACACAAATTCACTCTCCTGCTGGTGATAGCCCATCCAAAGTGACAACTCTCTACACAATGTGCATGATAATCAAGTTGGGCCATTTCCTGCACAAATCCAGGTTAGAGACTACTTCATTCTTAAGATTTCTTGAGAGGAGACCATGGGTAAAATCCTGGCTCACCATAGGCAATGGCAAAACTCCCATTGACTTCAACAGATTCAGGATTTCACCCCATGTTTACATAGCCAGGTGTGAGTAAAAGGCTTTTTGACCTCCCTCAGGCAAATGGAATCAGATTTCCTGGATTTTAGGTACATCCAGGGTAGAGTTGGCGCTAGGCATAAGCAGACTAAGCAATTGCTTATGGCCCTGATCAGCTAAAGGGGGCTCCCTATTCACTATGTGTTGGGGGAGGGGGGGGGCAAAATTTTCCTGCTGGGGCCCCCCGTGGGCTAGCACTACCTCTGATCCAGGGGCCATCAGAACTTTTTTGTCTGGGCTGGAGTTAAGACAAAAAGGGAGGAACTATTGCTCAATACCATGGTCAGCAATGTTGTCTCATCTGCCCTTTCCTCAGGCTGTGTGGTGGGCACTGTGAGATTCATGGTTCCTGCCTGTCCATGTCCTGAGAAGGATTTACTCAGTGAGCCACCCTTCGTAGAGCTGGGGGAAGGGTCTCTGATACCGGAGAACACTTCAGCGGACACAGAAAAATCTCACAGTTCACATGCTGCCCTTTGCTTAAGATGAAGCTGCTATGTTTTAAAAAAACTCCTGCAGACAGATTTGCATCTGATGAGAAGCAAGGTACAAGAGAGTTCAGTCTAGTGTCTATGCTGAGTGGAGTGGAGTGAACTGCTGAAGGGGTTGCCAGAAAGCTGAGAAACAGATAGGGGAAAGAGCAACCCATTGGTTCCAGACCATGGAGGTTGAACAAAAATGTTCACTCAGCACTAATATAATTCATGGATGATGTTTCTTCAGACATTGGCAGTCAGTGATTTACCTGTGTTCTGGCTAAAGCCATCCCTGTTGACGTTTATTAAATTAGAACCTGTAACTCGGTGCCACCGACGAACCAGGAACTTCATTCTGCATTTAAAATAAAAAGATACTTTAGAGTAAGCCAAATATTTCTTTATTTAAACAAACATATAATGTTCTAGGGTGTATAATAATCCACACAGCAGCAAACTGAGTAAGGAGATAGACTTTTAAAACCTAAAGAACTTGGATTAAACAGAAACAGAA